GCGCTGACGGGCGCTGCCGTCCAGTGCGAGTGAACCCGAGACGTGTGTGCACTGCGCTGTAGATGGCACACGGGTGGGCCGCCGAGCTCATCGACACCACCGTTATCATCTACATATCCGTCCAGAGGGCGTCTCATGCGGCGTGCTCTTGAATATGTGAGACGTCATGTGATATAAGCTCTCCACGTGCGTTTAAACCCTCCACCTGCGGACACATCAGATTTCAGTTTTTTGAGGGAGAAAGCAGTAGTAATAGCCTTATTCCTAGGAGAAAACCAGGAGAATGGATATATAGATGGGTTCATATTTCGGCAACATGTCTTTATCAAAACAATAGCAGAAGCAGTAGCACCTCTTCGAAACAATAACACTTCTGCTATTGTTTGGAAGAGGGCATATTGCCGAAATATCAACCAACTATATCTCCACTCTCCTGTTTCTTATCCGAGGAATAAGGCCATTACTACTCTGCTATCTTTGTGAATAATATTCCTGGCAAATTCTCTGAACATTTTACGCAATTCTTTGAGGGGCATTGAATCTCAAGAAAATACATTTCGGTTAGCAGGATACCAGTTTCATGCTTGTTACCCAGACCCATGTAATTTTTGCTTGGGTCATTCGTGTGATGAAATACAACCGAAATTAGCACGCCACACGCTTAGAAGCCAACAAAATTCGCTTGCATTGGTAAATAGGTTCGCCGAGGTGTCTGTTTTCACAACTTCACGGTATTATCACTACTGAGCTTCGCATTTCTCATTGATCTGATATCACATTGCAGTCGCGCTGGATGTGTCATCTGTTAAGTGGTCTCCAGTTTCAGTCCGCCCAGGGAGGTAAGCACATAGCAGCGCCCGTGTCACGTGCTCCCTTCCCTCACCAAACTGTGGCTGTATATATATATATATATATATATATATATATTGAGTCTCACCATGCATATATATATATATATATATATATATATATATATATATATATATATATGCATGGTGAGACTTAATCTTGGCAAATAAAGTTTCTGGTAGACAAGCAAAACGAGACGCATAAAACTACATGCATACGTAATAATAGGAGGGCAGGGAACATGCGATGTTGCTTCAGTTCAAGCCACCTATTGCGCCGTACTTCCAGCAAGCTGCTCAGTCTTCAGTGAGTTTTGAGCTGTGTCCTCCGCTCAAATTTGGAAATCCTGTGTCAGCCACTGCGTCCAATACTGAGTCACAAAACAAACTTACTGTAGAACGCTGAACTGTGTCACAGCTATGCCATGTTAACTGATGAAACGGAACTTTAACATCTTTGTTTGCCTTAACCCCGGCTAGCAGCCCGTAGTTTTAACGCAGCTGAAAGCATCTTACAAATAGTTTGCATCAAGGTGCAATACTTATACAAACATGTTTCAAGAATGGCAATGCTCATAATAGAACGACTAACACAAAATGTCATAACAGAACAGCCAATGTGCGTATGCGTTGTCATTTAAAGCACTGTTATGCTCATGTTGCGTCCCTTTGGTATGCCCACCACAATAGGTATGCACCGCGTGGTTCAAAAGTGAGTGCCATCCGGCGGGATCAAACCGGTCCTGGTTCAAAGGGCCGATCGCTATGGCGTACAGTGCATTCGAAACTCGGATACACGGGCTCCATGTCACGCTGCTGAAGGCACTGCTGGCGATGGACGCACGTATGTGTAACGTGCATTCAGTTCACATCCACATGGCCACAGTACTGAGGTCATGATTACTACCGCCATTGTTTACACACTATGAATATCGCATACTATGGTTGCGTTCTGTCGTGTTTTGCAAAAGCTAGCGAAGGGGCTTTTGCACACGTGGACTACAAATGGTCATGCAGCACCTAGTTCGAACTACGCGCACAGATTCGATGCCGAGTGTCGGCGATAGTGCAATGCAAAATAACAGCATGGACACAGCACAAGGCTGGTTTGTGCCGGTCGCATTCGCTGCTTTACGCGCCAAAAAAAAGAAAGAAAGAAAGAACCGAGCCTCTTTTGTAGCACCCAATTCGCGATCATGTTCGCCACACGGACGCTTTGAAGCAAAATCTTTCTGCCTAACCGTAATTGACCAAGTCGAGTGTGGATGCTAACATATGGCAAAGAAGTAAAGCTCTTTCGTGTCTCTTCTACATATGTGACCGTGTAAAGCCACGAAGTCATTGTGAGGGCATTGCCAGGGGCCGTGGCTCCAAACTTGGTTGTGACCTGTGCATGGCCGGGGTCGTTATCTCGGCGGCCGCTGTTATTTAGTTGTCAGGGAGATTAAGAACACCGCTGCATGCAAGGCACTCGGCGGTGGCGCGGCCCTGTCGACAGACCAGTGGGACCGCCCTGTCGACAGGTCGGTGGGCCCGCCCTGTCGACAGGCCGGTGGGACCCACCTGCCGACAGGCCAGTGGGACCGACCTATCGACAGGTCGGTGGGACCGCGCTGCCGACAGGCCGGTGGGACGTGCCTGCCGGCCTGTCGACGGGGCGGTGGGATCGCCCTGCCGACATACCAGTAGGACCGTCCTGCCGACAGGCTGGTGGGACCACCCTGTCGACAGGCCGGTAGGACCGCCCTGCCGACAGGCTGGTGGGACCGCCCTGCCGACGGGTCGCTGGGATAACTCGGTGATGCCATGCACGTCGCTGAATGTGGTAAAATCGTGATGACAGTTGTGATGAGAAGTGGGATTTTACGACCGCCATTTGGTAGTCTCATTTGCATCAGGTTTCTCCTTTTCATGCCTTGCGCAACCACCTGGAATGCCTATATTTGTGCTGCACAAATTGGCCCAGGAAGAAAGCAAGGCTTTGCAGGGTATTCAGCGCTCCATGGCCTGCATATATGCTGTCATGTTCAAGCCCTCTAGTACTACATTAACAGGATTGGTGAGCATCGATTCGCAGGCCGTGTCTAGCGTGACTATGCGATGTAAGCGACCCAGCTTGCCTTCTGCCGGAATGCGGAGTATCTGGTGCGGCGTTTTCCACCTTTGTATGGTTGATTCCCCCTTGCCCTAAGGATGGCTCAATTGATCATTTTACCCCACGAACCAAAAAAAAGAACTCCTTCAGCATAAGCCACGCTTATTCTCATCTCGCACTGGGAGCAGAACCATATGGGCGGCTGATGAGTCCAGAGAAACGTGATAGACATTTTTAGCTCAGCCCATATGGCGCCTGGAAGTACATGCAGCAGCGTTACCTTCCACTCTGCGTCTGCCTGGTGGCGATGCCTGAAAAGTTACCCTCCTTGACTCAGACCTGTTATGGTCATCTCACATCCCCCGTCGGCTGAGGTCCTTGTATTCCCCTTGTGGTAGATTCCTCCTGGTTAGGAATGCCTGATTTACAATCTGAACGGTGGAGGGGAGACAGGTGAGACGATCCTGATCTGCCGGAACGGAAGCCAACTGCAGCTGCCAGCCTCGCCTTCGGGCGATGTGCCGTCCTGCCGTATCCGAGCAGTGTAAGTTTGCTACCTCACTGCGCTGTTTGCGCCGCCGTATACGGGTAGTGTAAGTTTGCTTCCGCACTACTGTATCCGAATAGTGCAAGTCTGCTGCCCGCTATACTGTTGCGGTATATTGGAGCGCACAGCCGCTGTTCGAGTTGGCAAAGAAATGCAGGAGAATCAAAGAGGCCAAAATCACAAATTCCCAATGCGCCATTTGCGTAGACTTTAAGCAGCGATGAGTCCATGCAAACAAAACCTGACATTATTATCGTTGATCATAGTCTACCATTGCTGCACAGTGTGGCCAGAGGACATGGCCACCTGTATCCCGCCTGGCTGGACCACACCGCCATCGTAGGTGGAGCTTTGCTTAGGAGCTGAGCCTCCCTGTCCCGCCTGGCTGGACCACACCGCCATCGTAGGCGGAGCTTTGCTCAGGAGCTGAGCCTCCCTGCTTGCATTAGCCCTTCGGTGTCCAGCTAAGGTCACCCGAAATGCTCACTAAGCGCTTCAAAACAGAAAAACGAATGCCTGTTAGCAGAATCAGTCCTTCCACGGCCCCTAAAGGTCAATGAAGGCCCGCTTCAGCCGGCGTCGAGAGGCATGTCTTCAGCTCTCGGACCCGGCTGAGGGCAGAGGATGCCGAACATGTGACTTCAACCTCACAGGGATGGCTGACGTCACTGAAGCGTCGGACCGGCTCGGTCGCGTGCGCCCAAACTACGCCGAGATGACCGGCTTCGACAGCTGCGTCCGGACCAAAAACTTCGTGGTCTGACATGACCTGACCAACCGTGGTGTTATAACAGGTCCTGGGCTCCGCGGTCTGTGTTCCAGCATCCAGGATACAGAGCAGACCAGACCAATGGGACCGTGCGCGGTGTCGCCCCCACCCCACCCTTTGTCAGGGGCACCCACAATCCGACCGGGATCAGCGCGCACGCCGATCCATGACCCAGAGCTGGACTGGACCTGACCGTGTGCATGGGGCTGCCACGGCGGGGCGGTCGATAACACGGCCGCCACCGTGCCGCCTGATTTACCAAGCCGTGCCTGACTGGCGGGCCACTGGCTGGCCGCTGCTGTTCGGACAGCCACGGACCGGCTCCAGGCCTCAGGCCACTGGCTGGCCGCTGCTATTCGGACAGCCACGGACCGGCTTCAGGCCTCAGGCCACTGGCTGGCCGTTGCTGTTCGGACAGCCACGGACCGGCTTCAGGCCTCAGGCCACTGGCTGGCCGTTGCTGTTCGGACAGCCACGGACCGGCCCCAGGCCTCAGTCTTCAAGCCTCGGCCACAGGCTGCGATAGCCCGCGGCGCTGAAGCTTCAGCCGCCCTCAGGCCAGCCTCACGCTAGCAGACGGAGGCGAGCCTGAGCCGCCATCCATACAACAGATGCCAGCAGGCAGGGCAACATCAGACGGCCATTTGATGCCTGAGTAGCAAGATACAACTGCCCCTGTGCTCAGGACTTTTGCAGACCAACGTATCGGCAACAGCTGCAGTCTTGGACTGAAGAAGAAGCTTAGATGGCCAAGCAGAGGGCAAGTGCTGATAAAAGCTGGCCAGAGACGAGAACTTATCACAGACGGCATGCAGGGCCTTACTGGGACCAGTACACAGTTAAAGCGCCAACGTGAGCAGGCCGCTTCGTCCTCTTGCCACCATTTATGTCCTAAGCGCCGATTATTCCTTCGTCCCACATGCGAAGCCTGACCTGGTCTCTCCAGACAGTCAAGCCATGCATTGTAGACGGGCTTCGTTGATACCAAGAGCACCTGGCTTTTTCTCGCAGTACCGACAAGCGCGGCGCGAGGAAGTCGCGTCGGGCGTCTCGCGGAAGACTGAGGCGACCTAAAAGTCTCCTGAGGCGTCTCGCGGAGGACTGAGGCGACCTACAAGCTCCCACTACCGGTTCAACGTGGTACTTAGTGTTGGGTCAAATTCACGTGCTTGGCCGTGACGCGTCACGACAGCCATGACCGGAGGCCGTACGAGCCGTGTTGCATTTCATCGCACCGCCTGGAGGCCTCTCTGAGGCTGAACACACCTCAGCTCGATGCAGCCGCCGACAAGTGCCGGCAGAGACCTGATACATCTGCTGAGACCTGGTGTACCTGCTGAGACCCGATGTACCTGCTGGGACCTGATGCAGGGTCACCCAGTGAGGTTTCGTATGTGAGCAATGCCGACGTGGGTGTACCCGTCGGTTGATGAGTCCCTGGTAGTCTGATCCCTGGGAGGCCCCTTATGTCTGGTGATGGTGAGCGGTGGGTGTACCCATCGGTTGATGAGTCGCTGGTAGTCTGATCCCTGGGAGGCCCCTTATGTCTGGTGATGGTGAGCGGTGGGTATACCCATCGGTTGATGAGTCCCTGGTAGTCTGATCCCTGGGAGGCCCCTTACGTCTGGCGATGGCGAGCGGTGGGTGTACCCATCAGTTGATGAGTCCCTGGTAGCCTGATCCCTGGGAGGCCCCCTATGTCTGGTAATGGTGAGCGGCGGGCGCAGCCTGCCGGGAGGCTTTGGATCGCACTCCTTGCATTCACATCTTTGTTTCAACCCAAGTGATCACGACAGGATCCACATAAGCAGAGGAGCGTAAATATTCGAGTGCACTGCGAAGCACACTGGAATACAAAAACACACCTTTGACGGCAATGGCATTCATGTCAGAATTATGACGGCGACAACTGTATATTCCAGTGACAACGCTGTCGCATTTGGGTCACATTTCCCACTGCAGTATGGTGCTGACAGAACGGTGTGCGTCACAGCAACGCCAGGAGTAGTGCATGACGACAGCCCCATCATACTCGGACATCAGTGACGCAGGGCACACATTGCCTGCGGCCTGTATACTGCAGGCCGCCGACGGCCTCCCCTGAGCATCAATGATGGACGAGAAAGCCGATCCCACTGGACGCCTCCAGTCGGCTGAGCGTGACCCGCGGGCTGCGGGCCGAGCTGCGGAGCGGCGGCCGCCAGCAGCCCGAACCAGCTGCCCGACTCCTCGGCACTGATCTCGTCGCCCTCGGCATGCGACCCACACGAGCCCTCCCACTGGATGCCCGCTCTGGTGTCCCGGTGCAGTGTGCTGGCGCTTTTGGACGCAGCTGGCCACTGCGCCCATGTGGCCAGGTGGACACCTGGCCACATGGGCGCAGTGGGCCGGTCCACCCCTGGCCGGCCCCACAGTGCACTGTTGCACCCCTGCCGGCCTGCCTCCCGCTGGACATGGCTAGCGTGCGGCCGGCTCGTTGATTACGCCAGCGCATGCAGCGGCTGAAGTTAATCTGATCTGTTTTCTATTAGCTGACCGTGTCGTGCCCGCCGCGTCCAATGGACGCCAACGGTGGGGCGCTGCCGGGGAGCCGTCTCTGGTCTCTCCCCAGTGCTGCCAGATCTGTCCGTCTCTCCCCAGCGCTGCCAGATGGGCAACAGGCGGGCAGACAGCGTCGGGGACTGACCTGCCCCCCTTTCATTTTTAAACTGTCGATCTGGGGTCCTACACACTGTGGCCGCCACGAAGACGGCCCCGCTCCTCTGCCGTGGAGGCGTCGTCAGAGGGAGGCGGTGCCCGGCCTGGTTCGCTCTCACGCTGACGTCACAGCTCGCCGACCCATGTAGCCGCGTCGCCCCCCCCCCCCCCCCCCCCCCCCCGCCTGCCCGCCCAGGCGGCCAGACAGGCGGCTAGCCGAGCAGACAGACGGCTGTCAATGCCAGAGCCGTCATGAATCACGAGTAACGGAATCGCTTCTGCGAAAGGCACTGCGTGGAACGAAGCCAAAGGCGGGCTGCACAGAAAATCACCTTTAGTGCCCGGCTAATGCCGCCGCCGTCCATTATGACCGCTGTTATGGGCCTGTTCTAAATCCATTACGTCTCTTTACCATGAATAATTACGTGCTGAAATATATGCAGTAATGTGCAGCTCTTCCTTTACCGCCCCCGATCATTATAATGAATGCGCAGCGTTTTTGAGCAACTATTTGCACGCCTGTCCATCCATGGCTGTCTGTGGGCGGACACAGCTCGGCGGACAGGTCCGTGGCAACACTGAACCACACGGCAAAGGAAACCTGACGAGCCGCATGGTCTGTGGCAAATACCGAACCACACGGCAAAGGAAACTTGACGAGCCGCATGGTCTGTGGCAAATACCGAACCACACGGCAAAGGAAACCTGACGAGCCGCATGGTCTGTGGCAAATATCGAAGCATATGGCAAAGGAAACCTGACCAGCCGCATGGTCTGTGGCAAATACCGAACCACATGACAAAGGAAACCTGACGAGCCGCATGGCCTGTGGGCAAATACACACGGCAATGACAAAGGAAACTCGAAGAAGCGCATGCTAAACCTGCTGATCCAGAACGTTTGACGGCAATATGTTTGACGGTAATAACGTCTGACGGCAATAATGCACCATGCAGTATGTTTGTTTCTTAGAATTTTGCGACGCATCCTGAGTTTCAGGTCGACCAGCGCCGCATCGCTCGTGTAGTTCTGATACAAGGTTTTGTGAACAGGTTTGTTGAACGCCATGAAGTTCAAAAGTGGAAAACAGCAGAACAAGACAACTGAGACCGAAAGTGACCAAACTGGACGCAAAGAGGCGAAAGGGTCTCAGGAACGCCAACGCTGTTATCCTGCTCCGTGCCATTGCACGCTTGTTTCTCAAGCCTCATATGAACCGCACACCTACTCGAAAGACAGCGAAGCCTGAAACACAGCTCCCTCTGAGCCGTCCCTTGGACAGTCTTGGAGCGTGTCAGGGATGGCCAGTCGCCATCCTGAACCGCGCCCTGAACGTCCGGCCTCGCTGAGCGTGCCTCCCCGAGCTTGACCCTGAGCAGGGGACCACTCCGGTGTCCGCATCTCACGGTGAAACTCAAGTGGGCCGGCCGGGCTGGCGTTATGGCGCCGACGTGACGTCACCGTTCGAGCCGCAGCCGGAAGTGGACGGCCTCAGGTCGCCGACAGCACCGGATGACCGCACGCCCCGCTCGGCTACCGACCGTCGGGGCCCGGATGACCGCACGCCCCGCTCGGCTTACCGACCGTCGGCAGCGACATGGCCAGCAGTAGCGCTTTTTTGGGCGTCAGCGCTGGCTTGAAGGCGTGCAAACAAAAAACGCTCGCAGCACCAAGTAATCTCCCCAAGGTCTGTAAACGCTCAATAACTAACTCCCACCGGCAGCCAAAATGACAAAAAACAGCCCTTACACTTGCACTTGCGAGACTTTCCGGCACTTGCACCTCATCATGCTGTGTGCCATGTGCATTCCTGTGCCGCTACATGCCCGGCACGTGCGGGCCACCGTGGTGGTCTGCATTAGGTCGGTTGGTCTGTGTTTGAAGCCGGCAGATGAAACAGCTGGGATGGCTCATTAATCCAGTCGTTATCCATGAAATCGGCCATCAGTGTCTGCTTATCCTGCTCAGGTAGGGAGCAGAATGACTGGGTCCTACTGCAATCGGTAGGAAGGCTGGAGCTGGGCTGATCTTCGTAAAACCACACCCCCTACGCAATGTGCCTCCTTGCCCATTCAAAAAAGAAACTAGAAATACAGAATACGGAAGGAAGTTAATGAACTACCATTTGTTTAATCAACGATGGTTTACATTATGGACTTCACACTAGACTACACATACATCACCACATGTATCTGCATTAGCATAACGCGGATGCCGCCTGAGCGATGTAGCCGGCGACTCTCCCAAACCCTGGTTTGAGGAGGTCGTAACCTTCCAGCAAGTGACGAGAGTGGTCTGATGCGTCATCAGGGACGAAAGGTCACGGTTGTCAGCTCCACTTTCCGTCGTCATTGTGCGCGTGTGAGAATGGACAGTTGAGGTCTGGCACGTGAGCTGTCTACCTCGCCACCGGCGTCTCAAATTCGCCTGTTATTGATGAAAATGTGGTATGACCGTTGATTAATTGTACCGGTATTTAATTGTAAGGCCTGGTATGTTCTGCAGGGCAGTAATTACACATTCGCAGCTGACCGTGCTCAAACAACCACCTGTTCAGCTGAACTGGGGCACTTGGCTGTGTGGCTTGGCAAGGGTCAGCTTTGGAACACAAGGCGACACAAACTGTTCAGGTGCCTGTTTACCAACCAAACTGCAGAACTCATTCACGTCTATCAGCGTGACTACAGAACTCATTCGTGTCCTTGAGCGTGACTGCAGAACTCCGTCACTTCTGTCAGCGGGATTCAGAATTCAGCCACGTCTGTCAGCGTCACTGCAGAACTCATTCACGTCTCTCAGAGTAATTGCAGAGCTCAGTCACGTCTATCACCATGACTGCTGCGCACTCATCGCCAACGATCGTCCAGCCTTCGTCACGGCAGTCAGTCACCGAGCGTACCCGCGGCACCGGCAGTCAGCTGGGCCGGGCTGCAGTCCTGTGCCATGGGGCGGGCGCTCGCGGTCCTCCGGTCCTGGGCTGCCGCTCGGGCGCGCCTCCGCGTAGAGTCTTCCAGACCCGCGCGCGCGTCTCGCCCCCATCTCCTCTTCGACAATCATTTTTGCGCATCACGATAGTGATGGAATAGCTTTGTTTCTTACATATCACAAGGTTGATGTTTGCATCGAGACATCATCTGTGAAGAAAATGCAATATTCCAAATACGATAATGCAACCAACAGGGCAGAGACGGTGGGGCAACGGAAAGTTCGGGAAAAGCCCATTGAGCCCATTGTTACCACACAACATGATAGAAATGATGCTAATTTTGTATCCCGGGTCAGAGGGCAACGCTAATGCTGGGCTGCTCCTCGGTTCCGGCGCCCCAGCAGCCTAGGGCACGTCATGACATCTTCAACCATTCAGGCATCGCTTTATTCTGGTCATCAGCATTCGTTTTTACCGAAGCGACACAACTCTGGCGCCGTGCATTTTTCTACCAGTGTAGACCCCCATTTAGCTTAAAGAGCATGGGCATACCGAATAATTGCTTCAGGCTTCACTGTAAGCGAAGATGTGGCGCCTTCCCCGGACTAGTTTTTCTGGCCCGCTTTTTGCGAGCTGTTTGCTCTTCCATTATTTCTCTGCAGAATTTTAATTTAAATTTCAGTGAATAGAAGCCCCAGTGCTACTGCAATCGGCATTCGTTGTACCTCTTATTCTCCCCTTTCCCATTCCGCCTAGGCTGAGCCAAAATTTTGCGCATCAGAATTCCATCGTAAGATGACGGTCTTACAGCTGACCACAGGAGGAGGCACAGCGGGACTGGCGACCCTCTCAGTAAATCAGTGGAATGAACTATCACTATCATACGCAAGGTGCTTGACTGAATTTCCTAGCTCTGTAATGAATGTCGACGGTCCAGCCTCAGCTCGCGCCAGGTGACAGCCGGTTGTTACGCCTGCAAACCATGCTGTACCTGAACCGAAGGCAGACAGGACATCGGTCCAGCCTGAGCTCGCGCCAGCTGACAGCCGGTGTGACGCCTGCAAACCATGCTGTACCTGAACCGAAGGGAGACAGGACATCGCCTGCCCGAGAGCCAGCCGCCCACCCACAGCCCAGACTCCCGGCAGGACACACATCAACTAGATAAACATCGTAACTCCGGTCTGGTAAAATAAACAGTGGACACAGGTTTGCGCGCCGCCTTTCAAGCCGTCGCAAATCCTCTCAAACAGGACAGGGTTCGGCGCGCTCTGATCTCGGCAGTGACCGTCGCCGCGGCAGCACGCGCAGCTGGCGGTGCTGAGCGGACTGGACAGGGTTCGGCGCGTTTCTGATCTCGGCGGAAGCCGCCGCCGCAGCAGCACGCGCAGGTGGCGGCGCTGAGCGGACTGGACAGGGTTCGGCGCGCTCTGACCTCGGCAGTGGCCGCCGCCGCAGCAGCACGCGCAGGTGGCGGTTGCTGAGCGGACTGGACAGGGTTCGGCGCGCTCTGACCTCGGCAGTGGCCCGCCGCCGCAGCAGCACGCGCAGTTGGCGGTTGCTGAGCGGACTGGACAGGGTTCGGCACGCTCTGACCTCGGCAGTGGCCGCCGCCGCAGCAGCACGCGCAACTGGCGGTGCTGAGCGGCACGTCCAGCCGCAGGCAACACGCTCATGTCACGACAGCTGGCGCCACCGAGCCGTGTGCCGACGTGGTCCAGCCTTGTCCGGCGGGCCATCGATACCCGGGTGGTCCAGTGAGCTTGATGTGCTTTTACAGGTCCGTGAGCTTGGTGCGCTTTGACACCTACGTTTCTCACTATCAAGACCCGTAAGGGACTGGGTCAAATACGCTATCAGGGCACTTGCCTGATGGGACTATTTTTGAGCCTCCGTAACGGATGATCCCAGTGATTTCAAAAGGTGATTATAAATTGTCATGAAGACGTATTGTTTGGTTCTGCGCTGGAGCAGCAACAGGCGTCGTTACAAAAGCAATGCCAGCGTGTTGGTTCCTGGCTCAGCGACACGTCTCAGCAAGTTGCTCATAGAAACTTCTGAAGTCCTTTTTGAAAAAGATTATAGCCAATACTAAAACTTTTTTAAAGAAAAATCATGCTTGACGTTCAGTCTGTACTGAATGTGACGATGCTGGGGATGTTTCTGCATAAACACCCACCCAGGCTTCATATTTTAGCACACAGCGACAGCAGCGAGGCAGGTGAAGGCTACGCAGAGTGCCGTCACTGCAGCCGAAGCATGCGGCGGACTCGGCCGGGGCCGGCGCCCGACGCCGGCGCCGAGTCGACGGGCCCGGGCCGCCGTCGTCGGCGGGGCGGTGACCGGCCGACGGCCGGTTGCCATTGCTCACGGCCGGCCTCTCTGATGGCAGCTTAGGCCAAGTCATAACAATGACGGACGGTCCCGCGGGTTGCCGCCGGCTCGCCCGTTTCGCAGGCCGCCGCCGAAATCACCATCTAATGAATCGCCGGCCACCGCCACTTTGCTGGAAATTGAGAAAGCATCGTCGAAATTGGGCCGTGGTGAGTGCGCCGATGGAGTGTGGAGGCTCGGCGCGGAGGTGGACCATACCACGGAGATGGACCATACCGCGAGGTGGACCATACCACGGAGGTGGACCATACCACGGAGATGGACCATACCGCTGAGGTGGACCATACCGCGAGGTGGACCATACCACGGAGGTGTACCCATACCGCGGAGGTGTACCCATACCGCGGAGGTGGACCATAACGCGGAGGTGTACTATACCACGGAGGTTGTACCCATACCGCGGAGGTGTACCCATACCGCGGAGGTGGACCATACCGCGCAGGCGAGCCATACCGCGGAGGAAGACCGGCGCTGCCGCCGGGGGCGATAGCGTTGCCGTACGTGGAGAGGCGTATATCATTTGTTCGCATGATGTACGAATGTAAGAATAATGATGAAAAACGGCGATGTCTCGTCCCCAATTGCACATCCATCGACATGATTATCGGTGCTTTTGAATGTATCCCTCTTCGCCGAGCCTTAAATAAGTAAGTCACGCTAAAGTCAGCGCGAGTTTAGCTTACGTTAAATGCGATTTACACCTCATTTCACTAGTAACTTATTACAGGCAATACACAGAGTGATTTCACCGTGGATTTCACCGAGGTCACCGACTGTACGTATCCCTTTCCCATGAAACCGAAGCCGACCGACGCACGCGTCAGTGGCGGCCTGCTGCCGGCAGGAGGCCAACCGACGCACGCGTCAGTGGCGACCTGCTGCCTGCAGGAAGCCGACCGACGCACGCGTGAGTGGCGACCTGCTGCCGGCAGGAAGCCGACCGACACACGCGTGAGTGGCGACCTGCTGCCGATAGGAAACCGACCGACGCCACGCGTCAGTGGCGACCTGCTGCCCTGCAGGAAGCCGACCGACGCACGTGTCAGCGGCGGCCTGCTGCCGGCAGGAAGCCGGACCGACGCACGCGTCAGTGGCGACCTGCTGCCGATAGGAAGCCGACCGACGCACGCGTCAGTGGCGACCTGCTGCCTGCAGGAAGCCGACCGACGCACGTGTCAGTGGCGACCTGCTGCCGATATGAAGCCGTCCCGACGCATGTGTCAGTGGCGACCTGCTGCCGATAGGAAACCGACCGACGCACGCGTCAGTGGCGACCTGCTGCCGGCAGGAAGCCGTGAAATCGCTCTGATTTACCTCCCTGGCCAAGCCGTTTGTTGCATTTAAGTTATCATGTGTCATTTAATGCTGTCATAAATACTGCCGCCTGACGGCTAGAAGCAGCACGGCGATAGTCCAGTAAAGCAGGTCAGCTCGCACCGCTGGCTGAGACCTGCTGAGATCGAGACATCAGCGTGCTCGCAGCACGCGCGGGCTCCCAGCGCGCGGAACTTTGACACTCTGCTGGATCGCGGTGATCATTCTGTGAGTGTAGGGCTGTTTGGCTGCAAGACTTACGGGAAGCGTCAAGAGCAGTCATGTAACGGGTCCAAGCTACCGAGTGTGCGATAGAGTTATTACGTCAATCGGTCACTCAATGCAGCCGGCATTAGGCACTATTCCTGCGGTGAATTAGTGATGTCACTGCGCTGGAAACAAGCATTGGACACCAATGTGAGTTGCACTTATAGATTGTAACGTCATTGCAAATATTTCCTCACAAATTTTAGCTTTTGAGCTCCCAAGCGCCAGTGGTAAGGTAGAACTGCACACAGCGGAACGTTTCATCAATAGAGTCGTGGCTTGGTAGACACGGCCTCATGCTGCCGTCAGCTAGCACGTTCTGGCATCACTCAGTGGCAACAAGCATCATCCATCTTGGCCTGAGGCGTGCAGCTTATGTCCGGATTTCAGTGTAATTAATCTCCGCTTGCAGTCTGCAGAAGTTGCCACGACAAACCCGCGCAACATGCGGTTGTATCTGCGCACAGACTGAGCAGTGGACAATGTACTAGAGCGTCTCGTTGCATGCGTAGCTGATGAGTGCCTTTCGCAGCACTTCTGCCTTGGCTTCAACCCGCAATAAACCCAGCTTAGATCTTTACAACGACTCAAATCGTTGGTCTGTTGCCGACACTCATTCTCAGTGAAGACACAAGCAAACCCGGCGGGGGGGGGGGGGGGGCAGTCCCATAGCAGCTCTGCACATCATCCTTTGTGAAACTTACAATTTCGCGAAGAGGCCTGTGGTCCTCTCCCAACCTGTCCAACCCAGACTCTCCAGCCCCCGACGCGCCACGCTTACTAAACAGGCGAGTAGAGCAACGCCATACGGTGAGCACATGACGGGTGGATTCCCAGCTGAGCTTTGGCGGCGTTTTGTGATACAACACCACGCAGCCGACACATAAACCGACACGGCGAGCCGGCGCCGAGACCGCCCCAGCTTAACGGCGTCATTCGACAGTTAGGAGTGAGCGCGGTCGGGGGCCGCCGACCGACCGGAATTATGCCCGCCAACTGAAATTATGCGGACGGACCATGATTAATGTGGGCAGCGTTTGAGACATGGCGGCGGCGGCGTCTGGAGCGCAGCTCCAGGCGAGGCAATCGCAGCTGCGAATCGCGCCGCCCCGGCGCACCGAGCACGCCCGCTGTAAATTCGCCGCGTTCGATAACTAAATTCCCTACGCTCGGGCCAGGAGCCGGACCTGGACAATGTCTCACCAGGAGGCGGCAATTAATACTGGGAATAAAGGATCGGGCCGCACTGTGATGAAATGGGGATCGTCGCTCCCACTCAGACTTATGTGGACTGGGACTCAAAACTTGCGGGGCTTGGAAACGTCGATATGACAACACCCTTCCGATGGCAAACGGTGACACCATCCAGCCCGTGAGGGGGCTGATGCGCACACAAACGCTGCACCAGGTCTGCGGCTAACATAGACTGCATCCAGAGGAATGCGGCGCCCACAGTGTCGACGCATTCACGTCACCATTGCTTGTTGATCTCCCGCCACACTTCGCATCACAGAAACAACGTTTCTCAGCGTTCTGTAAGGCAATTGGAATTGACGATCCAAATCAGAGTCGGCAAACTGGTGTGCTGACAGGAGCTAAAAAAAAGAGTGTGCAGGGTCATAGGCCCCTGTGTAGTGTGATTCATGTATTACACACTTCCTTGCCAGTTTCTCTTTGTCTACAGAAGTGAATCCCCAAACCTTTGTGACACTGGGCCCTCTCCGAATAGCTCAGTCTGATGTGCAGATGCTGGCAAGCTGGTATAGGACCTCAGTGTGGACAACACATGCCTCCATGTCTCTCTGTCACTTCTGGCTCATGACGTGCGGCCTTGCCTCCAGTGCCTTCCCAGGTTTGGCAGGGTCGGGGGCTCAGAGTGTTGGATACAGTGAGAGCGGCGCCCGCTCAACAGGGTTCGGCCGGTCGGCCCGTCCAGGCGGCGGCGGCGGCGGCGGCGGCGGCCGACTTCGCCGTGTTTACCCTGCCTCAGACCCCGACGAACGGCTCGACAATGGTCCCCCTGTGGCGATGGCTCGAAGTGTCGCGAACGGGGCTCTCGTCGCGGGGGCAGTTGGCGCAGCAGCCGCACCGGGTAGCGGCGCACAGCGCGACGCGCGGCGGCGCGGCCGGCCGGTCGGGCGGCAAAGTCGGCAAAGTCGGGCGGCGGCGGGCGGCGGGCGGCGGGCGGCGGGTGCGGGAACTGAAGGGGCCGCGCACGGCAGGACCGGCGCGCGGCTGCCACTCACCTGCCATCGCCATCCACGGGTAGATAGGCGTGCTGGCGTAATGGCTGGGCTGCTGCGCCAGCTGGGCGCTCTGCTGGGCCGTGCTCTGGCTGCACGCCGCCAGCCAGTTGGAGGCCGCCTGCTGACGTTCCCGGGCCGGGTCGACGGCGGCCGCCGGCAGGCCGGCGAACCGACCGGCGCCGGCCACCGCCGCCACCGAGCCCGGCCAGCCGCTCAGCTCCTTGGGGCTGTAGCCGTTCGGCTCCTTGGAGCAGTCGACTTTGTAGGCGGTGGCCGACACATCGTTGCCCGGGTAGAGCTTGCACGCGCCAGTCGGGTCCACGAAGGGCGACTCCTGGCCGCGCGTCTGCTGGTAGTTCGGGAAGCCGAGGAACCCGGGCGGGTAGGCCTGCTCTCCAGAGCTCCGCTGGTAGAAGCCGCTCTGTTCGAAGTACGGACGGAGCGCGATGTTATTGTCGCCCATGTCACCTCAATCACGCCACACGAGCACCTCAAATGGTCCGGCTCGACTCCGAACGCTCCAAACGGCTCCCACCTGACCAGGTGCAGATTTACGGAGCTCAGAGACGCCCGCTAACTGCTCCCACTAAGTTATGATCACCACTGGTTGACGATTATACTTTTCACTACGATGTGCTGGATAAAATTTTACGGCAAGAGAAGTTCCTCAGTAAACAATCCAAGGCCGGGCCTGAGGGCATCTAGAGCTAGCCAATCACAGCGCTGAACACCGCTGGCCGGCGAACGGCCCCGCTGCGTGCGCAAACGACTGTAGTGCCCTGACGTCATCATCGCTCCCGGCCAGCCCACAATCTGCTCCCAGCGCATTCTGACGGTGGAAGTTGTAACCTATCGTTCTACCCATGATTGTTCCAGATGACGCCACTAATGTCAGTTTGCCTAGGCTCTAGGAGGGGCACATATATGGACGTAACAATGCCGTAAATGTTACTGGGATCCATTCCTTTTTTGAAACATGTTTCGGGTCGTAGACAGGTCGCAAAGTAACGCGGAGGTGAGGCCCTCGTGGAGGTAGCGTGGCCTTCCTCGAGCCCAAGGCCCCAGTAGTTCTTGCCAATTTAAAGGGAGTGTGTGTGTCATTACGGCTGTACGACGCACTCAGCTACTGGGGCTACATGGCGTCGCCTGTCTCTCACTCTGGCAGGAAGGGCGTGCACCGCCCTTCTATCTAACCCCGTGCCTTTTGTTTTACAGACGCACATATCAGACGTTCATGTCTTTCGTTTCTGAGCACGATTTCCAGAAAAAGTTGTCAACTGCCTCTAGATTAATATGGTGCAAAGTACGATGGCGTGATAAAACAATAACGCATTATTGAGCATATTTACTAAACAGAAATATTGTGTTGTTTTATGCAGACTTTTTCACTTATAAGTATGCGAAAAGCTATAGGTGAGATTATTACATTATATCTACTGTTTCCCTCAATATCTTCAAATGCGGAACATTACCTCTGAGTGCCTTTAAATGAGCATTCCCGAAACGGCTTCTAGAACATAAAAACGTGTCGTCGAGGCGTCTAAAGGGGATTATAGGGCTTTAAAATGGTTCAAGTAGGAGGTCAAGACCAGAGGTAAAAAGCGTCCACTTGCCCAGGGGCGTAAGAGACTCGCATCAAGGCCCGCCGGTCATGACAAGAGAATGAAATGCGCTCATCGTTCGAAAATCCACTTAACTTGTTCTTTCGTTAAATTTTGACTGCGATGAAGCTGTGCACACTACAACAATGACAAAGAAAATATATTTTAGTGGCCTAGACCTTTTTCAGCGCTGCCGTTTGAGGAGACCGTTTCTAGGTGCTTCGTGGATACACCCCACTGTATTTTATTTTTTTGGAGGCTCATTCTAGCTCAGTTTTTCATATGCTCCTCGTCCTTAACGTGCTGCTTCCTCAGCGTAAAAAAAAACTCGAACGCTTACTGAAAGCGTATACTCACCATATAAATCCTGTTGACGACACCTAACCGTCAAGCTAAGTTCGGACATGAGATTTGTTTATTAGAAGCGTCAGAACAACTAGCTATAGCAAACTAGCTTTTGCATAGCTAGTTTCTTTGGCCCCTGGTGCGAGGAGCGCTCACATAGGGACAGTCTGCTCCGGACTATCACTGACACGGCACGATTCGGTACCGAAGTCGTTTCAAAGAAAAGGACCCCTTGCCATCCACCTTTTTGAATAAAACCTCCCATCTTTGACTACCACGCTTCTCCAGTTTTCTAAAGAGCATCGAATTTAGAGCAGGCGTCTTAGGATGAGATCTCAAAACTGTTCAGGAGGTCCATGCGAGTTTTCACGATAACATACTTGAAACCTTAACTCTACCGCATAGCGATATATCACTGTTTCTATGGCCCCTTTTCCGAATTGTTTTCCGCCTCGTCTACCTATTACAGTTTGTCTGACAGAAACTCATGCATCTAACACGATCGTATGCGATGACCCACATGCGTCACAATAGAGCAGCCGTTTGAACATGTTCAAAGGTCATGGCAAAGACTGCATTGCATGTTTCAGCTAAATTGATGGTAATGCGAATTGCGTAACTCTGTGACACTGGACCAGTCAATCTTTGTAGATGACCCATATTTCCGTGGAGAATAGAGCATGTGGATATCGTTGGCTGGTCGTCGCCGCCGTTTCAGGGCCTCTTCCTCATCTCGTTTCGTGGGCGTATCCATTAAATTACAACGTCTCAGGCCAGTTCGTATTGACCGTAAAGACAGCTGTGGCCGCCGTCCCGAGATGGCAGCACGGTCGGCCGAGCAGGTGACGAGCCAGCCACGCTCCGCAGCCGGCCGCCGCCGCCGCTGCTGCTGACGGCTCGGCCGCATGCGCCAATTGGGGCCCATTGCTCAAGGTTATGGCGCCGTATGAGAGGAGGAACGGCCAAGAGCCGACGGTCTAGAGGAGGATCGAATGACGCACGCCCCGGGGGGGGGGGGGGGGGGGGGGAGGCAGGGGACACTGGCACATTCACACAAAGGGCGGGTATATAATCGGGAATTGGAACCCGTAGAGAACGTGTCGTTCGGCGTGGAAATTCCCTGCGATAATACTGATATCAACTTCTTGCAGCGAAACTTATGTGACACGAAATGGTGCTTACAGCTGGCTGCATACCTACTATAGCGCATACTAGCTATGCAAAACGCCAAGTCCAATTTGCCACTAACTGCCACGAACTTGCGAAGCTTGTTGGGCCTTGCCGTTAAGTGGAGTTAGTCGCACCTGACACAAAGTGAAATGGCTCCTTTGTTTGCACAATGACACTAGCAATGGAAGAAATAATCGCCCTTTCGCTTTTAAACAGGGAGGGAAAAGTACCCTTGAATACACAGTGGTCATGGCGTAAGCGCACCCCATTTGAATAGTTGATAATACTAGCCTTTTCAGGCTCACATTAAGGGGGGTAGTTTCGTAACATGCGTTTGGGGCTGAACGCGCACATGCTAAATCAATGTCTCAAGCGCGCCATAAAGCTGTTTTCTCCCTGGATTTCGCTCACTTATCACCAATTACCGACAAAGTACGGAACCGTCAAGATTTTCTTCTGCTATCGTTAGGCCCTAACCGATAAAGGCCCAATGCGAAGGTAAAAAAAAAAGAGAGGAGCAAGCTAACGGTATGTGCTCAGCACTACCTGTAGAGGTAGACATGGCTGACATTTAACATTCATTAGAGAATGTTAACATTCAAAGCAATGTTAACATTCATAACAATCAATGACATTAGACATTCAAAACTGTCTCCTCCATGCAACAACTTAATTCCTTATTTTTATATTATTTTTCGACGCGTGTAGGATGTGTGATTGGTTGCATCGAAATTGGGTCGCCATTGTAGCAGGGACAGTGCAACACGCGTCTGGCAGGGGCGCTTGAGCGCATGCCAGTGTACGCCATTATCGGTGTGCACCCCCAAACAACAGTGGTGCGCGCTCCAAACAACAATGGTGGAAACCCCAAACAGCAGCGGTACGGACCCCAAACAACAGCGGTACGGACCCCAAACAACAGCGGTACGGACCCCAAACAACAGCGGTGCGCGCCCCAAACAACAGTGGTACGGAACCCAAACAACAGCGGTGCGGACCCTTAACAACATTGGTGCGCGCCCCAAACGATTTGAGATGCCTTGATCCAATCAGGACAACCTTTCCACATAATGCAAACATCATATACAATTCGGGCTCATTGGCATACACTTGGGGCAAAGTGAAACCTAATGGGCAAACCTCAGAAAAAGGCGGCCAAATCAGAAACTGTTTGCCCCAACTTGTAAATATAAAGGGAAGTCTTGTATGCCTACCCTTGTTCTTGTAACTTACACCGTTGTAAACAGCGCGACAGGGGGTACATACGCCGAATGAATATTGGGACACCAGTGCACAGCTGTAAAACAGTGCGGCAGGAGGTACATATGCTGAATCAACATTGGGACACCAGTGCACCAGGGCCACGCGACTGAATTTGCACTAAAACATTGCAATTGCCTGGTGTGCGGCAAACATGTTGTATTACACAAGAAATATTACAAACCTTATCAGCGTTATTTCGGGGCTAAAACGCTCCATTCCGAGCTTGGATACAATAAGACAAGCGACATCCTCCAAAACACGTTTATGCCGTGGTAATGTGCACACTCGGTCACCTCAATGTCAGTCTCACTTCCAGCCACCGCCCGCCGCCGCCGGTCGGTGAAGCCGGTATGGCGCAACTGAACCCAATCCCTTTCCTCGCGGAATGCTAGCATCCGCAACATTTTGGGAAAAAAGAACACACGGCATGAAAAGTACGTTTAGAATACCATGTACAAGAATGTTTTGTACCTTTTTGTTAGCTACTTATCGTGACGCATTCCTGAAAAACAGCATTATCCCGTGAGGCCCACGGGCTTTCAACACGACCAGCGATTTTTAGCAGTGCCACTCTCAGCTCGCTTCGCTTCGTGTTTGTTGCTGTCATATCGTCCGGTTCTAGCAGGTCTTAAACATTACCTCAGCATCTCTTAAAAGCGGCTCTCTGAGGTCACTGCGAGAAATGGTTAGAAATAAGCTGTCGAACTGGTCGCGAGTCTAAACTGACCTCCCACCATGCCATCGTCAAGCTGTCGCCACAGACCGTCGTCAACAAAAACAAAAGCCAGAACTGACTGCGCGCGAAGCTTCCGAGACCGATCCTTCATCATGCTCGCTGACTGGATCTTAGCTGGAGCTCGGTGCTGTGCGTTTCTCTGTTTGGGCAGTTTGACGCCTTGATCTGGAGTGTGAAGCCCACTCCAACCGGCTCATCCCGAGCTCACCCAGGCGCATCTGATCCAATCATGCGAGTGCTGGCGTGGCCGTGTCAGTGCAAACTGGCTCCACCGCAAATGGTGACGCGTGGATGGCTTAGGTCCAGGCTGTTTCGGGGCAGTTTGAAGCATTTTCTGTCAGTATTATC